CCCAATAAACTTTTCCTCCTCTAAAACTGATCTTGTCAGGTCTTTTAGTCTCAGCAGCAGAAAAGATTATTAAAACTTGTTAAAAGTTATTCAATATAAATAGACTTAAATTGTGATAATAATTACCTAAAATGTGTGTGTGAAGGGGAAAAGAGTGTCGAGTTTTTGAGTGTCATTGAACTTAAATTATTACCAGCTTAAAATAGATAGTTAAAACTATAACATATTTTATGTAAAACTTAAGGTGACCACATACACAAAAAATATCTATGGAAGTTACTTTTACAAAAGGAAAAGACAACGAAATCAAAATATATCAATAGAAACAGCATAAACAGGAAGACAACATTTTAAACAACCATTGACCAACATGAAGGGAAAAATAGACAGCAACAAAATGATAGGGGGAGACTTCTGTCCCCACTTTTAATAATGGACAGAATATCTCTACAGAAGATCAACAAGGAAATGGGGGACATGGACATTTAAATCAAACTGACCAAATGCACATAAACGAAACATTCCACTTGATAGACACAGAATACAAGTTCTTCTTGAGCACACATGGATCTGTCTCCAGGACGGATCATATGTTAAGTCACAAAATCAGTCTTCAAAAAATGTAAGATGGAAATCATACCAAATATATTTTTTTCTGACCGCAATGGAATGAAACTAGAAATCAGTAACATAAGGAAACTGGAAACTTCACAAATATGTGGAAATTAATGCACCCTTGAATAGTCATTGAGTCCACAAGAAATCAAGAAGGAAATTAAAAGGTACAGCAAGAGAAATGGAAATGAAAACACAGCATACCCAAACTTTCATGATGCAGCAAAAGCAATATCAAGAGGGAAGTTGAGGGCTGGGGATGTGGCTCAAGCGGTAACACGCTCGCCTGGCATGCGCTGGCATGCGCGGGGCACTGGGTTCGATCTTGAGCACCATGTAAAAATAAAATAAAGATGTTGTGTCCACCAAAAACTGAAAAATAAATATTAAACAATTCTCTCTCTTTAAAAAAAAAGAGGATAACTTGAGGGTGAAGAATGCCTTCTCTAAAAGAAGAAAGACCTCACATAAAAAGTCCTAGCTTTAAAGGAAATAGAAAAGAAGGACAAATTAAGCCCAAAATTAGCAAAAGGAAGGAAATAATAAAGACCTTAGCAAAAATAAATAAATAAGAAGTCAACAGAAAATTATCAATGAAACTAAGAATTGGTTTTTATGAAAATGTTAACAAAATGGTCAAACTCCTAGCTGGACTGAGAAGATAGACAATTCAAATAAATAAAATCATATGTGAAAGAATGGAGACTATACCTGATATAACAGGAATTGAAATGGTCAAAAGGGGCTACTATGAATGAATAGGTATTTACCAACAAACTGGATAACTTAGAATAAATTTCTAGAAACATACAACTTTCCCAGACCAAATCATGAAGAAATAAGAAGTCTGCATAGATTGATAATTGAATATAGGTTGAATCAGAAACTATAATCTTCTAACAAAGGAAAGCACAGGACTAGATGTCCTCACTGGTGAGCTCTACCAAACATTTAATTCATGCCAATCTTCTCAAACTCTTACATAGCATTGAAGAAGAGGAGCACTTCTACACTCATTTTTTGAGGACAGCATTTCCCTAATACCTCAGTCACAACTTGACACCACAGAACAGAACTTTACAGGCCAACGGTTCTCATGAAAATAGATGCCAAAATATTCAATAAAATGATACAAACTGAATTCAACAGCATATTAAAAAGATCACATACCAAGTAGGACTAAACTCCAGGATGTAAAGACACAAAAATCAGTTTGTAGAAATCCTATGATCATGCCAATAGATGCAGAAAAAGCATTTGATAAAATTCAATAAAAAATTGAATTCAGTAAAATTAAATTCAATAAAAAAGTTCCAGATAAAAATGCTCAACAAACTAGGAATTGAAAAAAATATATATAACGTAAAAGAAAATATACTGTACCAATTTGGGGAGGTTGGGGAGGAAATGAAAGTTTTTTATGTTGTTGGTAGAAGTGTTAATTAGTACACTACTTTGTCATTATCTAGTCAAAGTGAACAATTATATTATCTTAAGTTTCAGCAATTTTTTCCTAGTTAGACATATTTAAATATGCAAACAATTTCATGCCAAGAAAGCTTGTAGCAGCATCATTCATAATATCCTCAAGAGGAACAATCCAAGTGGTCATGAAGAATAGACTGGACAAATAAATTATAGCACGTTCACATGGTAGAATCCTATATAGCAATGAGAAAGAATAAGATATTGTTATGTACAAAATATGAATGACTCTCACAAAAGAAGTCAGAAGCAGAATATATACTAAGTGATTCCATTTATATGTTGTTCAAAAACAGGGAAAATTTAATATTTAGTAAGGGAGAAAGGGGGTAATGACTCGGAGGAAGTCCTAAGGAGATTTGGGGGGATGCTCAGGACATTGTATGTCCTGATGTGGCAATGACACAGGTGTCTTCAGTTTAGGGTTGGTGGACTTGGATCGGAATCCTGATTCGTGGGGATTTATGAGCCCAACTTCCTCTATCTCTTTCCAAGTCTCATTTTCTTCACTTGCAGACTTCAGATAATAAGACCCAGCAAGGATCCATGAGATGATGTAGGTACAGCTCCTAGCCCAGGACCCGAAGCTAGAAGCCCCACAGTTTCTTTCCCTTCGCTTTGGGTCTGTAATTGTATTGACTGAGCTTGTTGGAGAAGACGCCTCCCTGGAATCCTCTTCTCTTTCCCACCCACCTACATCAATGAGGCATTTCTTTATGAAAGGGTTTATCCTGTAAGGGGCAGGAAGCCATCCAAGCAATAGGAATGCATTCCACGGCTACTTAGCAGGGTAAAGCTATGCACCTGGATTAGGAACCAGACCCATAACCTTGACTGTGTTGGGCTGGGCTGCAGACCTTAGGTAGACAGAGCACTCATGCCTCAAGTATTAGGGATCATGTCTAGCCCCACTGTCCCCAGGGGTAGGGTGGGGGGAGGACATGCCTCTCTCAAACAGTGAGGTGGTGGCCACTTTCTTCATTCAATTTCTCCGAAATAAGGGATGAGGCAGTGGTATGGAGGGTACCCCAATCATTTGGCTGAAACCCAGTGTTAAGGATTAGATTTTGCCTCCCTGCAACTCCTCCTGGATCGGGTGTCCTCGGCTTCCTGTCCTGAACTGTGGCGGGGGGTGGTTGCTGGGCAGCTGTGAAACATCTGCCACTGCATTCCACCTTCATTAGAGAGGTGGGCAAAATGATATATGTGTGAATGTTCCAGATACCGTATGTGTGTGTGTGTGTGTGTGTGCACTTGTATAAAGTTTCATTTTGAGGCCCTTCGTGCAGTCTCTGGGATGAAAGGCAGCCTAGAGTTGACGCTATCATTCTCACAGCCAGACCCCCATATTGCTTTGGCATATGTAATGTTTCCCAGGCATGTGACATTTTTCATGTGAAGAGGCAGCCTCGGGCACATTCCAACTTGAAAGACTGTCCTTTCTGGATGGTGGTTTCTTCCTCCAAGTCCTTGGGAAAACATTGCCATGGTGGCTCCCCCCTGTCCCAAGTGATTGACTTCCTTGAAAAGAGCAGATACAGCTCTTGGAAAGATTTAATTTTTACGAGTTCTCTAATTCTTTCCAGGAAAACAGATTAGGACACAAAGTGACTGTGTGGAGTACAGAACCCCCGTGGGAAGGCAGAGACCACGGCCAAGGACACCATGCTCCCTCCTGGTGCCGGTGCTGGTGCTGCTGGGGCAGTGCAGGCTGTTGACCTCTGGGCAGGGGGAAGAACGTGGTTTCTGGCAAAGTCCATTCAGCTCTGGTTCCGTCTCTTCTGAGTTGTGTCTCCTTGGGAATTTGATCTCATCATGGAAAGTGGGACTAAATAAGACAGGGTATGTCAGTGATCCTCATGCGGATGGTTCTGTCCCCCAGGAGATGTCGGGTGATGCTTGAGCACATTTTTGATTGTCAGGACTGGGACTACTGGTATCTAGTGGGTAGAGACCAGGGATGCTGTTCAACACCCTACAGTGCATAGAACAGCCCCCAAACAAAGAATTAATCACCCCAGATGCCCATAGGCGAGGCTGGGAAACATTGGTATGTGTGGACCCACGAAAAGAGTTGGGCCTCCCCAGATCTGCCCGCCCTCTCCCCTTTCTTTTTTTTTTTTTTTTTTTTTTTTTTATTCTTGTAATTTTATTAATAATACATAAATGGTTAATGGACAGGCATCACCAACTTGACTGACCTAAATTAACTATCCCTATGGAAAAAGTATTTTCTATATTATCCAACTTACCAATGATTGTTCATAAGCTGGTTAAAAATGTCATCTTGGACCCAAGTTTACACAATAAATAAATCTAACTTTTACAATCAGCCATTATATCTTTAAACAAACAAACAAACAAACAATGTCACATTTCTTCAACTTTTTAAAACACTTGCCCCCAAGTTGCTTGCTGCGATTAGAAGCACAGGGCTGACAAAGAAATATGAGATAAAAATCTCTGTGAAACTGTCCATCATTAATGCTTTTCTGATGGGCAGGACTTATACTGATGTATCAAAAATACATTTTGAAGAATAATGGAAAAAATACCCTTGTTTATTTCTTCAACTTCTTACCCCTTAAATGTCCACATTAATAAATCTTACAGTCCATGTGAAACATCTCAACACGTGAGTTATGCAATGTTCACCATGGCAAAGGGCAGACCAAGAGCCAAGGGCCTGGCAAGCTGGGAAAGGCTACGCAGTCCTCTCTTTCTCTGCTTTATTGACCTGGACACAAGTACATATGCCTGGAAACAAAAGACAGAATCTTGCAGTATTTCCACAGTGATAACAATTAGCTTCCCCTGAAAATAAAAGTAGCCACGCCGTCTGAGTCCAGTCACACAGAAAAGGGCAGGCAGCTCCTGGAATGCCAGCAGCGGTCCCCGGCTCTGTCTCCATCATGGCAGAAGTTGTCATCTCCACTGTCGTGCTGCCCGGGGGTCGGCAGTGGACACTCTCACACGGAAGGCAGTCTGGTGGCTTCCATCTCTGCAGCACGGTTTGTTCCAGTATTTACAATGCATTTCAGTGAGCCACCTGCTCCACTGCACATCCCCATCAGATGACATCCAGGGCATCAGTAGATCATCACCCTGACTGTATGTGAGCAAAAGGCTTGGCCTGGCACAAACTCGGGACAGTCGATCAGCCGAGAGAAGTCAGTCTGTGGCACGCTTCTGGGAGGGGGGCCCGGGATTGGCCATTTTTCTGGTTCTGTCTTTTTCCTCATTTTCTCAAACACAACTTCTACTTCTGTGCTGTCCTTCAGGGCCTCTAAAATGAGATTAAGGTTTGTGGTGAGAGCCTGAACGCGGTGAAATCCAGCAATCAGGGAAATAGGCAGGAAACCTTGCTCATCCATCTTTCTCCGAAGAAAGAAGTCACGTTCCAAGTTTTCTATACTGAAGTAATATTCAATTTGAAGCTTAATATACTCTTTAAGCAATGCTTCTTCCACAGGATACACCTGTACACCCGTACCGTCATCATAGTAATACATCATACTGGTGTTAATTTCTGTTTGAAATGGCTGATCCGTCCTTTCACCATGTTCTCGGTAACCATACGAATAATCAAAGTTTACTCGAGGGTTTCCTCTGCCTCGTCCTCTTCCTCGACCTCTGAAGGAACCTCGGATATTACCCCCCTCACTCCTCACGCTGGACACTTCATCCTGATCATCTCTTTTTTCTCTGTCTCGCCTCCAACTTCGTGTGTCATTTCTCCTGTTATTATGGGATGACTTATTTGCTTCAGGTTGACACCGAGAGCTGTTCCGGGATCCAGGTCTCTCTTGACTCTCTGGTCTCACATAGTCCAAGTGCAGTGGTACCCACTTGTGTTTATTAGCTGATAGAGAACAAGGACTTTGGGTGACTTCGTCCAACTTTTCCCCCTTTCAGCAGGAAGCAGTCTGGAGATGTCATTGCCCATTTCCCATAGACCTGGAGTGTAGAAACTCTCTTCCGCTGACTGCTTGACTGGGCCTCGTCCTCACTCACATTTTCAACAGGACCGTCTAATTTTGTTTCCCGGTTTTCTTTGCTCTCACTGTTACTCCTCTTTTCAACCTTCTCTTCTTTTTCTTTTCTGATTTGTGGCTTCTTATTTCCTTGGCTGATGACACTCTGAGATCCAGTGCTCACTAACTCTCCTGGTGTTGGCCAGTTTGCCATATCGCTGAAATCACTGGCCTTATTGGGTTTCCTTGTCTTGAGTTTTCCTGCTTTTATAATTTTGGGGGAACTGAGCTCGGCTGCCGCCTCGCCGGGCCGCGCGCGGCGGCCGACTCTCTCCCCTTTCTTTTGGTCTACAATTTCTTCCCTGAGCATTCTTCCTGCTGAGGACCTTCTGTGAGTATTTGATGTTTCCTTGGTGGGTTCATTTCCCCTTCTCCACTGTGGTTAATTTAGACCCCATCTTTTCTCTCATCCCTTTTCTCTAGCTTTTAGCAGACGACAAACTTACAGCCAAAATGACATTCGACAAGAATTCACTCCATTTTCTGCTCCCAAACTCACGGACTTACCTCCCCTTTACCCCTAAGGCAGACACTGCTCTTTCTAACCCAGAGCCACTCCTCTCCTCTTTGCTGTTGGAACCGGGGTTTTGTCTGGAAAATGGGCAGAAATGCTTTCATCTCAGGGAAGCAAGCCCAGCCTTGGTCTAAAGGTGACTGTTAATTCCAATTTTAAGTAAAGTCATGTATCAAGAAATCTGGACTGCTTCTGGAAAATATTTTTCTTTCTTCAAAGAGGGGAGTTTATGGAAAGAAACTGCCCTGCGCCCCACACATGTGTCCCAATTATGAATTGGTCACGTTAAGGATGTGATGCTTGGGGCTGCTGAAGTCATCTCGTGACTGTGAGGCAAAGATACACCAAATCATAGGGTTGCCGATTCTGTGCTCTGCCCAAAATAAACTACTTTAATATTGGCTGGAAAAAAACCCACTACCTCCTGACTTTTAAAATTTGAGTTCAAGTTACAATCCTGGGGCAGGACTGTTATTGGAGCCTGAGTGTCTAACACACACATAAAGTTCTTTCATTCCTAGTGAAATGCTGCCTGAATCCTCTCTAGCCAATGCTCCAGACAGGCTCCTCTACTATTGTTTCCTTCCTTTCTTCTCTATTTTTAAATCTTTTTCTTTCTATTGGTTTCTTCTTATGAGTATTAAGACATGCTGAAACCTCACCCATCTTCCAAAAAAAAAAAAAATCCCAACCCCCCTCCCAACTGTGCTACACAGAACCCCTTCCAGGGATGTCCCTGCATTTCTCCTTAACTCTCCCAGTAAGTGACTGGTAGGCTTTGCCTGCACTTGCTGTCTCCTCTTCACCACCTCCTACCTGCTCCTTCATCAGGGCAACCTGGATTCCACTCCTACTGATGTACCAACTCTTGCCAAGGTCATCAAGACCTCCGCTTTGTCCCATCCAACTAGAGCCTCTCAAATGATCTCATGGTAGCACCTGGCACAACTGATCTGCTCCACCCTGTTGAGAGCCTCTCTTCCCTTGGCTTTTGAAACACAGTCCCCTCTGTGGGGATTCCTCCCACCTCCTTGGTTAGCTTCCAAAGCGTAGAACTGAGTTCCCTTCTTCTGCCATCTTGGAGGGTTCTCTGCCAGCTCTCCTCACCTTCCCTTGGCTCAACCCCGTGGGAAATCAGAACAGCCATTCATTGTGCATTTGTCTCCAACCTTCCGTCTCTAACCCAGAACTTTCCCAGTTTGGGATCCTTGCTCATCTGTCTTGACGAGTTCCACTTGGTTTCTTCTTGGGAGCCTCTGTCTTGACACATTCAAACTGAGTTCAACGTTTCTTCTTAAAACCTCTGTGTTAGTCAGCTTTTCGTCACTGAGACCAAAATGCCTGACAAGAACAACTTAGAGGAGGAAAAGTTTATTTTGTGTCATGATTTCAAAGGTTTAGCCCCCATGGTTGGCTGATTCTACTACTCTGGCCCAAGGTAGGGCAGAACATCATGGTGGAAGGGTGTGGTGAAAGGAGGCTGTCCCCCCACACCCTTCATGGTGGCTCGGAAGCAGAGAGAGAAAGGGGAAGGAGCCACAGGAGAGATGAACCTTTCCAGGGCACACCCCACTGACCCACCTCCTCCAGCCATGCCTACAGCTACTACCCAGTTAGTCCATTCAAACTAGGATGGACTGATTATTGTACAGCTCTCACAATCTCATCATTTCTCCTCCAAACATGCCTGCATTAACACAGGAGCTATGGGGGATGCCTCATATCCAAACTTTTTTTTCAATATTGTTTTATTTATTTATTTTCACTACAATCCTTATTACACATATAGCTCATCACTGAGGTTTATGAATGAGGCTCTGTGTTCTGATCACTTCTCCCCTCACCCTCTCTGAGGGAATGCAGAACCTTCCTAGAACCTTCCCAGAATCTTCCTAGAACCCTGCATTCCCACCTCATCTACCTGAGCCCAGCCTGGGTGGCTTGGCTTGCCTCTAACAGCTGAGATGTCATCTGCCTCCAATGAGTCCCTCCTCACCTTCCTGAATTAGGAGCCGCTCCTGTGTCCCACCTCAGAGTTCTCAGCGCATGAAGTTCATGTCATTTCTTTATACATCTGTACCCTTAGTAAACCATCATCTCCATGAGGCAGCCTCCTGTCTGACTTTTTCTCCATTTGTAGATATTCATTGAATTCTTATGAAGTAACAAGGATAATGGGATGGTAGGACAATAGTGGGCATGTCCAGGGTCCTCCATGGCACTAACAGATGGCCTCTCCCTCTGCCAGTGTCTGACACACTTCTCCTTTGCATTTCTCTCTCAGTGCCTTGTTGTGGGCTCATCATCTTCTAAGGTCTATGTGCATTTTCTGGCCACTTTCAAGTTTCATTTAACTCTCAGGATGATTGTGAGGTGGTGTTGTTATTTTCATTGTAGGGATAAAGTTCAGAGAAGTGAAATAAGCTTTCAGAGGTCACACGGTTAAGTAGCAAAGTCAATATTTCAGTACTCTGTCCTTTAAGCCCTGTTTTGCTCCACCATAATAATCTTGCTTGAATGTTTTATAGAGTGATTTCTTTCACAATATTGTTCAGTTCATATAAATTCGCTGCTAACTAGAGTGTTGAGACACAAAGGAGGTCTCTTTCTAACTGGCAGGTTATCAGAATGTCATTGCTGGTAGGTTGATTGACAGATCCAACTCGAAGTGAATGCAGTTTCTGGGAGGGAGGGACTGGAAAGAGGACTCTTCTTTAGAGATGATTCCAAGAACCCATCCTTCCTTCTGCAGAGGGACAAGTTTTTTTTTCCAAATTCAATCTCCTCTCTGGCACAAATAAATGCTAGTTCTTTTCCCTTTGCCCCTCAAGAACCTTTTTGAAATTCAAGAACCTTCTCAGGGACCGGGTTTACTGCAGTTTAGATGGCCTAGAAACCTAGCTCCCAACTTTGTTTCAGAACGTTTTGTCATGTTTGGGAGTTTCATAAATGAAGCCCTGGGGCTGTTGGATATGGCAAGGGGTTGCCCTGCCAGTGTCCTGGGGATCCTGAAGAAAGCTACCCTAGCACTTGGATTCCACAAGATACCATTGAGAAATTAAATACCACTCTGTCATCACTGTCACAAAAAAGGTCACTGTTTATTTCCCACTTAATATTCATTTGGCCATTTATTTATTCATCAAATATATAAACTTTTGTTAGTATACTATAGTTATACATAATAGTGAGGTTCATTCTGACAAAATCATACATGAATGGAATATAATTTACTGCATTTCAGTCCAAATATGTATTTTTGAAAGTCAATGGCAGGCTTTGCATGAATCATTGGGAATAACAGATCACAATGAGTCAAGAACAATAACTGGAGGAATTCTAGAGATGGGGTGTAAGGAGAGGCTCTGTACAGGTAGTAGCAAGCTAGCTGAGACCTGGAAGATAATGAGCTGCTACCTGGTGACAGCAGGAGATCACTGTGGTGGGCTTGAAGAGGATGCGAGAGAACCAAGCCTTGGTCTCTGCCTTCCAGAAACTCAAAATTAAGTTACAAGAGAGACAACCTCCTATGACATGGTTAAGAAGCAATGCCAAGCAGTAGCTATTCAGTGTAAAATGGATGAAGTAGATTTTAAATGCCAAAGAATTCCTCTAAAGGCTCCAAATAAGAGTTGTATCCCCTAAGGATTCTCTTGGGAAAGTGAGTGTCCCATCATGAGAGGTATTCATGTGGGTCTGGAAGGCCATTTATGGATAAGGCTGGGCAGCCAGGGGAGGAGGCAGAATGTATAGTCACAAGGACAGTGTTTTCTAAGTTGATGATTATGTTCTAAAATTGCAATTGAACTTCAGTTGTGAAACTCCTCTCATGATTTTTGCCCATCTCAACTCCAACTCTGTTATCACTTACATGTTGTTTTAATTAAAAAGAGATTTTGTAAGGAAGGTAGTGCATATCTGCATTTGCAATATAATCTCATACATTTTTATATGAAAATAATGAAGTGTAAAAGTATGCAATGGATGCCACCATTTGTAAAAAAGCATACATTTGCACTCATTCGTTCATACATAAACATACATTCACACTTGTTCATACATAAACTTTTTTTGTTGTTGTTTTTGCTAGAAAGTATCAAGCTGCTAATACTGGTTGCCTCTGAGGTGGGATGCTGACAGACTGGGGCACATATTACTTTTTAAAAACAATAAAGATCATTTAAAAATCTGTGTCACTCACATGCCCATTTTGGAAGTTATAATGTATCCTAGACATTCATGGGATGAAGCTTTTGAGTAATAACCCCTGCCTTTGCTGTATTTTCTAAAATCTCTATAGGGAACATTTATGTGACTTTGAATTTAAGATAGTGTTAAATGACAGACGCTATTGGATATGGGGATAAAGCAGAAAGGTGTAAGAGATAGGAGGAGGCAGCCAGACCAACATGTCCACTTAAAGAGTGGAGACGGGAACGTAAGGAGGCCCCGGGGAGGGCAGACACCTGGGGTTTGTGATGCAGAGGACAGTTGGCCTGATGGGAAATTTTTGGACCAGAGATGGAGTCTGAAACTGACAGAGATTCTTCCAGTAGATTAATGTGAGTCGTAGATTAATGTGAATTGCTTCCCTTTGCATGTATGTCTGAGGGCTGGAGGAGTAGATTAGGGCTTTGCAGGAGAGGTAGTCCTGGAGCATGAGAGCAGGTAGCACCCGAGCAAAAGGAATGGGGAAGCCAGAGGAGGCTGAGGACAAAGAACAAAGGTGAAGACAGCATGGTAGACAGA